TGTTATCTGTGTACTTAAATATTAGCATCACTACAGCCAAATTACCGCCATGCAAAGCACAACATTTTCCCTCCATTTCTTTTTTCATAAAAAAAATGTTAGAATCTTTATTGTTTAGATATTAAGGTACGATATACATGGCACCAATTTTGTTACAGTGATGCTAATACATAATTACTGATGTGTGTTATAGAGCAGCAGTCACCAATTGGTGATGCGTGAAAAATTTTGGACGGTATGCAGAAAAATTTGGAAATTATTTATACTTTTATGAAGATTCAGTTTAAAAAAAGATGAACAACAAAACAACATATTACGGAACACGAACTATTCTTTACTAAAAGCTTGTAGTTACTGAAATAACTAAACAAAAAAACATAATTCCTGAGGTTATCGATTTTTGGTAACCTCAACCTTTTTTTTGGAAAATTGTAGGCAAAACACTTCAGTTTGTTGATTGTTGCTTCTCATGAAGCTTATTTGGTCCCCTCCTAGAAGAGCCCACACCCTTGGCGTGAATTACTTTGGTTGGCAATAATTGCGCCATCTTGGTAACCCTACTTTTAAACACTACATACGACAACCCTAACGATTTCTAGCATTTTCGTATTTTGTGGGCGCGCATTTCGAATTTCAATTTGTTGTTGGTCTCCGGGCTGGTTGCGTGTGTGAGGGAATCTACTTTAGAATTTTTTACTTTGTTGAATGCGAAAGGTAAGAAAGAATTGATGATTGAATGGTGTATGAAGGAAGGATTGATTGCTTCGAGTTATGAATGTCCTAAATGTAATAATCAGCATGATGTAACATGATCGGCAATAAAACGCTTTCTTCGAAATCGTGCCAGCCACGCCGAATGTATGTTCAACCATTACCTCGCAGAATAAATATGGAGGCGTTCACACGATTTATTTTTTATCTCAAATGTTTAATTTCTGTATTGCTTACATATATTTTCATTATGCATCCACCTTATCCCGCTATATTTCCTTGCCACCATTCTCACTTTCGCTTGGCACCATCTTGTTCTGGCTTGGCGCCTTTTTTGGTTTGTCGCCAAGGGTGTGGGCTGTCCTAGGATTTTACCGCTTATTTTGAGGGCATAGAAGATTAAATAAAGACGTAAATATAGCTATAGTGCTCCACCACATAGAGGTCAATCCTATTAGTGAAACGCTAATTATAAAGTTATACATTAAGTGGTTCATGAAGTGTTGAAAAATGGCAACTACTGCTCTAAAGCAGGCACAGCAGACAATTTCTGTATATATACAGACAATGAAGCAACACAAAATGTCTACTCATAAGCATTGTAAAATTAACCCTTTCACCTCAAGAAGAGTCATTTAATTTGTTTTCAAACTTGGCACCTCTTCTATGGAGACAATGCAAATAATTTTAGATTCATACCATGACAAAAAAAAAACCCATAATAAGTTGGGAGTATTCTGTTAACAAATTACAAATGAAATCAATCTGTTTAGAAAAGTTTTGTTAATGTATATTTCCACATTTTTTATAAAAAAATCATACCTCAAGTGCAAGCAGTTAAAGATATTAGAAATGTGTGCTTTCTCTTTTCTTTCTTTTTAACCAGACTGAGCCACAGGAAAACATGATTGGGTACAGATAGCTAGCTATAACAAACTTAAATGATAAAAAAGCTATCAAAAACCAATTATTAACAACAAATTATCATTTTGATAAAATCACCAAAAAAAGTTGCAAACAAAGGTTCTTGGGTACTGTTGCAACTATATCAACCCCGATCTTGTTCGCATCATACACGGTGAATTGACAATTAAGTGCTAATGCTGCCAATATGGTTGTGATAATACATAAATATCAAAGCAAACACAAAATATACATCAGAAAATCTTAATTTTTCCATTTATATTTCACAGTAACACCAAATAAAATTTTGAAATTACACAAAATAGATATTTCGTGAGTCTAATGTTATTGCCCCAACAACTAAAAACGACAATAACTATTTCGTGGAAAAATTCACTACCAAGTGCAAAAAAGTATTATTATTATTGTGCACAAACAGGCATAGAACGTTCTTCCCTTATTGAATGCATATTGCAGTATTTGGCGATGTCTTGATTTTAGGTAAATGGCCAACTAAAGGAAAAATATAAGTACCATAAAAAATTATACATTAATTTAATTTAGATTCATTGGAGAAAGATAAAATACCGTGTAAATTCCGGCATATAACGCACACCCATACTTTCAAGCTGCAAGTTTTAAATTTTAGGTATATTCGCTATATAATGTGCACCCCTTTTTTACGAAGAAACCTGAAATGTACACTGTACCTTGCATCACTGTAACAAAATTGGTGCCATGTATATTGTACCTTAATATCTAAATAAAGATTCTAACATTTTTTTTTATGAAAAAAGAAATGGAGGGAAAATGTTGCGATTTGCATGGCGGTAATTTGGCTGTGGTGATGCTAATATTTAAGTACACAGATAACAAATAATTGTCCATGTGAAAAGCTGTCTGTGTCTAGATATAAGCCACTCTGTTTTTAAGATAGGCCCTTAACTTTGTTGATAACAATTGCTGATACTAATCGAATTGTGAATTACAATAATACTCCCATCATTATCAACACTTTGTCGTAGTTTTCTGCTGCAAAATCTGTGTTTATATTGGATATTTCCTGGCGTATTCGATTAAAAATACCTTCAGCCTCTCATTGCATTGAATTTCAGCTGCGTCAGTTGATGCACGTTTACAGTTAAATATTTCATTTGCATTTTTTATTTTTTCCCTTTCTTTTTGTTTCTGATTTTTCTTTTTTTTCATGTTTTGAAATTTTATATGTTTTTGTTTTAATTTTCTTTTCTTTTTAAGTGTAGTTTTAAGTTTTTAAGAAATTTTATATGCTTTGTTTGAATTTTTTTTCTTTTCAAGTGCAATCAATTGGCTTAACTAGATAAAAATAATGCCTTGCGGGAAATCAAACTTAGGTTGTCATACTTGCAAGGCAAAAGTACTACAATGAGTGTAATTGCACATCAAACTGAGAAAGAATGGATATCAGCAAACGAGAAAAGCAGACAAAGAATGTCACAAACACAGGCTGAGGGCGCAGCAAAGCAACATGCAACCAGACTTGAGGAAGCTCATTTGCGAGCACATCATTCGTGTTTTACAACATCAGAAAGATGTTAACCAAAAACAGCACATCTGCGTCAAACATGACTTTGTGGTGAGCAATCACACAATAACAGTCAACTTGCATTCCGGTACAACCCAGTGGAAGATTCTAGGTTCAGGCAGCATGTTCTCATTTACACAAAGATGGAAGTGTATCCTTATTGCAATGTTCTGGAATTTAAGGGAGAAACCAAAGGAATGTTTTGTACCACTGAAAAAATTAAACTGCCTCAACTCAGAGAACAGAACCATTACAAATTTTGCTTGCTAGATATACTGCAGAATCAAAACATTTCCTATATAACATCAGGAAATACAATTCATGTTTCCAAGTGACATTGTTTGGATAAATGTGCATTTGTGAACACACCTCTGATTTAATAAAAATATCCATAAGCATTGTAAAACTAACCCAATTCCCTCAATGAATCCAGAGTGGAGCAAATTTAAAATCTTCAAACTTGAGGTCGCCACTTTAAAGACAATGTAAATAAATTTAGGTTCATAACACGACATAAGGACAAAAATAAACTGTAAAAACTTCAAGCATTTGGTTACCAAATTATAAATATCAGTTTAGGAAAGTTTTTCGTATATATATTTATACATTTTTTTATAAAAGATGATACGTGCAATGCAAATTATTTAACATACTGAAAATATGTCCTTTCTGTTAAACAAGACTGAGCCACAGCAACGCGTGGCAGGGTACAGCTAGTATATATATATATATTATATATATATATATATATTATATATATAATATATATATAATATATATATATTATATATAATATATATATAATATATATATATATTATATATAATATATATAATATATATATATATATATATTATATATAATATATATATATATAATATATATATATTATATATAATATATATATAATATATATATATTATATATATATAATATATATATATATTATATATAATATATATATAATATATATAATATATATATATTATATAATATAATTATATTATATTGGTTTTAATTAGTGATTGATATTATTTTTTTCCAATATATTTTTATATTCTTTATTTGAAATATATTTCAAAGCTGAGTTCATAAAATTATTTTCCTGACGATTTATTACAGCTAGGCCGCCATCTTGGATTCCATATCACTCGACAACAAGCGCTACTTGGCACGATTTCCTAGTCGTGCTAAGCAACGCTTGGCGCGTAGTATGTGGCCGCGGTAGCCGAGTGGTATGGGCATCGGATCGTGGCTGGCTATGTCACGAGTTCGAACCCAGTACCACTAAAGGCCCGCCGTGTAGGGCAGCGATGCACGCTAAATCTGTCGAGAGCTGAAACGTCCTCCCGTTGGTGTGGTGTGGTAGTTAGGAGAGGGGGTGCCAGCTCAGGTGTCGTCCACGTCTCTTGACCATGGTTCAAAATTACGTGGTCCGTCGCCAAAAGCCCTCGTGTAGCTGAACAGCGCGACGTTAATCTTCCCTCACTCACTCACTTGGCGCGTAGTATTCCGATGTTAAACTATTTCCGAAGACAGAGAGTGTGAACTAAATGTGTGGTGAATAGTTAAGTTTTATATTTATTCAATTCCTACTATTAGTTCACACTCTCCCTATATGTATTTATATATATCTTGTTCAAATTTTCAGTCGTTAATAAAATACTCTTTATTCATATATTCTCTTTATATATATTGACACTTGATGTTAATACAATTTTTCAAATATGAATTCATTTATTCTATTTAATGAATGAATAAATAGTAACAAACAAAAATAAGTCTAACACCCTATATAAAAAGGAAAATCGCTCGTTGTGTGCATGTAGCGCAATGTTTAGCGCGTTAGACTTCTATTCTAAAGGTCGGGGGTTAAAGTCCCACCTGGGAGGGCATAATTTCTGAGAATGTAATTTTTACTTAACTGTTTTTTTTGGAATAATTAAATTTGATGAATGAAAAAAATGGTAACAAACAAAAAAAATTAGTTCAACATCCTATATAGAAAGGAAATAGAAAATTGCAAGGAAAATACGCTTTCTATTTTGCCACATTATAGTGATTCTGTCATATTTATATGGATTGTAATTATTTAATAAAAAGTAACTAAAATAATTTTTTTTATCTAATTAGAAATTTATTTAAAAGTATTTTTTTTATATTGCTTGTTTAGTTCTACCTTCACAGGAGTGCTGAAAGAAATAACTTTTGAATATACTCATTCCTTGTTGTTAGTATCTGCATATCGTGACCTTTCATCCAATCACCATCAACAATGTAGCACATAACGTTTTTGAGTTAGAAAATTGAGCATTATGCGAAACAAAGTGAAGAATTGGTGAATAGAAATTCTCTTTCAAAACGTTTTCACTGTCACCCACACATAGGAAGTCAACAGGGCACAAAAGACGCCGTTAATTCTTCCATTTCGTCATGCGGAAATGAAGTATTTCCGAGAGGGTGTTTTTCCTCGAGTTCAACAAACCCGTAAAAACATCTCCGTCCGAAATTTGGACTTGAATGGTGCGCAGTAAACGACCGAACATTCCTTTGGTGGATGATCGAATGTCACGAGAGCGAAAATTCCATAAAAGTTTGAGGGGAGTTTTCCAATATATATTGAAAAAAAGTGAAAAGAAGTTTTCTTACACAGGATAGCAATGACTTTTAGAATAGAATTTATCGCGAACATAGCACTTGAGACTTAATTAAAATGCCATTAATTAGTAGTATTTAATTGAATACAATGATGTATAAGTGCCTAACTGATGAATATCGGGGTTGCTCAGAATCAACGTTGTAATGGGAACGTTTCAATTTGAGGTGAAGACTTGACAAAAAAAAAAAATCTCATGAGCTGACTATTGCGTACGTCATATCATGCGTAGCCAACCTGTGGCACGCAAAAAAATTCAGAAAAGATAATAATAAATAATCATTTTTTACAATTTTATTGAAGTGGGATTGTCTCAGACAAAAACACCTTAAAATTTGGATAAAAATATGTTTGTGAATAAATGTTTTCTACTATGAACAATAAAATAAATATCACTCAAAACTAGCTAATGTGCACCTATAATAACCTAATTTTGTTAGCATCTGCAGGTGCTAATCCTAATGTAGATGACTTAGTAAAAAAAAAGAAGTTATAATTCAAAAGCTACTTCAAGTAAGTACTGAGTGTTTAATAATTATCTTGAATTAAATGATTCAAGTTGTGTTCATTTTTATTTTACATCTAATCTAAAAGATGAGCATGTAAAAAATTATTAGCAATAAAACCTAAGTTTGTACTTTTGTAATTTTTTTAAAAAAATCGACTTCATATATATATAGACTTGTATTATAAAACGCGCTATTTTCATAAAATTCCCATAATAACCCTATAAATAACATTTTTTCAAATTTTTTGTTGGGAAAGTTCGAAATGGCACGCATAATTATTTTTTATCAAATAGTGTCACTATTCCCAAAAAGGGTTGGCCACCCCTACGTTATATACTCACTCTCAGTGGTGCAACAGCCTATGAGGGTCACAGGGCCTACTGTGTCCATTCCAGTACACATGACCGTTGGGTTCTGAGATGCATGAGCAGTCCCGATCAGGTGGTAAGTCTGAAGCGAGACCCCCAGTGTTTAAAATCCCCACAAGCAAGAAGCAAGCTTGGTACTCATTTATCGACCCACTGCAGTACGGATGGAAGGCTGAGTTGACCTTGCCCAGCCCGGGAATAGAACCTGGACCTGTGGTGTGGAAGCGCGATACGCTACCACTGGGCCTCTCTGCGTTATGCATATGTCGCAGGGAAACGGTGAAATTAGGGCTTTCGTCAAATCCCTAAAGGAGAGGATCAATTCACGCAAGAGAAAAGTTACAATAACTTCTCTTTAATGTCCCCTTTCCCTGTTGTAAGTAAGTGAATTAGTTAAATCCCCGAACTGTTTTAGTGAACTGATGAAATAAAAAAATATGCCACTTTTTTAGTGCTAGGGAACTGATATTTGGGGAATCGTAATAACTTTTGTTATGGTTAGGATCTGCTGGGACGCATCCCCTCTACAGCCTTTTGGCCAATATCTCGACACCCGAGCCTCACAGTCCATTCGGACTTGGCTCCGAACTGCTCTTCCAGTTATTATAATTTTATGCTTATAGGACTGTTCTTATATAGTTTTTAATTGTTTTAAACTTTTTTAAACTTTAAAAATTTATTTAAATCCACAATATCTTGGCTCCTGTTTGAGTCTCGGACTTGAGATTTGAATCAACTGTTCCACTCGTCGAGACCCATCCAGTCATATACTTGACTCACATTGTGTAGGCATGGGGAGGGCTTAAGCACTAAAATATCATGCACCCATGTTAAACCTATGGGGTCTGAAAAAATTCCATCCCCTAAGGAATTGAGCTTGGGTCTTGATTTTTGGAGGTCCACCATGTTTTCCTATATGCGCGAGTTTTACGTGGAATTGGCCCCTTCCGGTCCCCCCCTACAGGGCTTTCCCATTAATAACTCGGATCCTATGCTCTCTTGGTCGACCGCACTGGCTGGATTCGATTGTTCTCCCTATGAGCTCGTCAAATATGTAATTTTATCATAATAACCCCTATTCCTCCCCCTCTCCCATTTCACGTTTTTAAACAATTTTAAAACTTTAAAGTTTTTTAAATTCCCGATAGCTACGAGGATTTTTGACCTGTATGGTACGAATGTACAAGAACAAGTACAGCGGAAATACAGCATTTTACCAATATTTTAAAATAACGTCTTCTCAATTTCATTTCCATAATGAAAGTGATTTTTTTCAAGCCCTGAAATCTTTCAGTGAAATGATGAAATGAGCTAGTCAGGATTTGCATTGGCAAAATGCTGTCCAGGGAGGGGAAGACAACTGGGAGGTTGAGTCCTTGTACCGAACCATACAGGTCAAAAATCCTCGGAGCTATCGGAATTTTAAAAACTTTAAAGTTTTAAAATTGTTTAAAAACGTGAAGGGGTCAATTTTGCTTTGATATTGATTTACTTATTGTATCACTTTGAAAATGTCCTAATGCAGAATATTTTCCACTGTGCTTAGTATCATAGTGTCTCTTAATGTTTGATTCTTTCGACACAGCTACATTCTCGTTGCAAATAAGGCAAACTGACTAAGCAAAATTTTAAGTCAATTCCTACTTAAATCAACAAAGAAAAATTTTATTTTAGCTACTTTTTATTAAATAGTTACAATTAATATAAATATGTATATACATATGACAGAATCACAACATTAAGTGGTAATTAATTTGTATTAATTATCATTAAGATATCATATTGTCATCCAAAAAAATCGTATATAAAAATTTCAGTTCAACTGAATGCTTTAAAACGTGAGAATGAAAACCTTTTCATGTTTTGACACAAGTCGCCAAAAGGGTCGCTAAGTAACCAAAAATGATGCCAACATGACTGTATTTGTAACTCTGTTGAATAATTAGTTTTATCAATTAATTATTATTAATTATAATTAAATTAGTGTATTGTCATCTAAAATGATCATGTATATAAAATTTCAGCTCAATTGAGCGCTTTAAAATGAATGTATTTTATTAACGATTGAAAATTGCGCCAAGATAAATAATTATAGAGTGAGTGTCAGCGAATAGAGTAGAAATTGAATAAATAACGATCTGATAAGCTTTGCTAGAAAAAATCACACTTTCCTTCTTTTTGTTATATATGAAAGCATGCCATTGCACTTTTTTTCAAAGACCATGAATACTTCTGAATTTAAGAATGGGAAATTAATGCGATTAATCCAGCTTAAAATCAACTGAATAAAACTTACTTATTACCAAACAGGATGTTTACAATCATTCTAACTTTTCACTAATGATATATATTGTAGTATTTTGAGAAATATAATTCTGCTCATTCATGTTCTCTTCCCCTCTATAGTAACTGTATACTCAAGGTCACTTTTAGTAAAGTATTGATGAAAGACCAACATCCCGTTAGACATAAAATTCCACACATTTTTCCCGAAAGTGGCTAAAATTTTATACACTTATGCATAGTAAATTTTTTTTTTTTTTAAAATATTTAAGACGCGGTGAAAATTTTGTAACATTAGCCCTTTTGAAAAAAATTTTACCTCAAATGCGTATATCGAACATATCAATGGAATGCCTTACACAGGGCTTCAAACCGTATTTTTTTCAACCCGGTTCAAATATATATATAACAATTTAGTTCCGGTTTTTGTTCTGAAAAAAAATAACGGTTTTTTTTGTTTTCGGTTCTGTTTCAAATGAATTTTATTTTATGTATGTTCTTATATTAAACCATCTATATATATTTCTAGTTCATTCAACTGAATTAAATCTGCCTTTCACAAGTAATGTAATGCGAAACTGAAACAGAAAAATACTAGCAAACATCAAAATAGGAAATCGAGAAGCAATGTAAGTGTATAGAAGATAATTACAGGGTTGACGTTAAATTAGGAAATATTGATAAGTTAGTTACAGCAGTGTTTCTCAAACTGTGATCCGCCCCCCTGAGGGGGCGTGATAACCCTACGATAGGGGCGCGAGCATATTAAAAAGTTGAAAACAAAAGATAGAGATTTAACGAAGTTATTAACTTACTGAAAGTAAACAAATAAAATACATTCTGACATAAAAAAAATATACACTCTGACATAATACATTTATAAATATATCAGCACTGCGCAGTGTATTTTACAATTAACTAAACAAAACTAAGTTAATAACGTTTAATGATTACCAGTGACCCTTTCGGCTTTTCATATATAAAATTATATACAAAAATTAACACTTTTTTTGATAATTTGTACGCTTTATATATATATATATAAATTCTCCTTAAATACCGATTAAAAATTACGT